ACAGACCTTAACGACGTACGGAATGACAAAAGTTAAGGGTTTCTGGCTCGCGTCACTACCTGGCCGTCGGCAGAGCAAAAAAACACACCGAAAAGGCATACCGCTCAAATCTGTGCCGCAAGTTCCATTTAACTTGTGCCGTAGATTGGACCGTGCCATTTATTACAGAACCTTCAAACACACCGCACTTTGTCTACGTCATCTTCTTTCAGCAAAAAAACTTCTAAAATCAAACGTCGGAGAGATTGAAAGTCTAAGATAAAACTGTTAACAGTACACCACTAATTACAGAACGGTTTTCAAATTACTTTACATTACAGGCCGTAAAAATATTGTTGTTTACACTATGCGCACTCTGTGTTTGTTGTAAACTTGTAAACAATAGCGTAGTATAAAATGAATACAGTACCGCTAAAAGGAAAAGTGTTCTTGGGTGGCGAACATTATTTCGAAATGTATTTATAGCACCGAGAATTATTACAAATAGGTACAAGACTTGTAAATAATTACAATTTGTTAAACAACATTTGTAACTGTTTAAATTATAGTCCGTACATTCAAATTCATGTCCTGCTAATCAAATCAAGATTAAATTCCTGTTTACCTGAGTACACACATTCGTGTACTTACAAGGAACACAAAATTCTTTGTAACATTTGAAGAAAAAAATGTATCCACGTGCCCTCTGATTTACAGAGGCCAGAAAATAACTCTTGGACTTAAAAGCCGGGCTATAAGTGTATAACCCGGCGGTTATTAAAATATTTCAAACAAAAAACCAAAGTGTTCTTCAAGAATTCCCTGGGAAAGTATGTTACGCATGCTTGAAACTCGATCGTTGGGCCACACGTGCTCCCGCGCAACATGAATGGGACAGGGCGAAGGGCGGGGTAAGGGCCGCGACGCGCGGGGGCGGGAAGAAGGCTTTTTTCAGGCAGTTGAAGCCGAGGCGCGGGCGGTGACGCGCGTCCTGTGCCTAGCTAGCGAGCTCCTGTGACCCGATCATAACTTAGTGTATATTTAGTGTTCACGTGAACGAATATTTACATGTAAGTATTTTATAATATTTTAATAATTATATTTCACTGTGTACCGTGTAAAGCAGCGTCAGATTTGTTGTAAAGAGCATCCTTTTACCTCTTGATATTTCGTGTTATTTATGCGTTCCGTGTTGGGTTACATTTTACCTTGTTTTATCCTTAAATTCATACCAACGAAGTAAATTGTTGTCGTTGTTTAGGTACTCAATTTAATTCATAAGTGACTTTATCAATCCGAAATTCATCAAGCCCTCATGTTATTTATTTTTGATATATAAAATTAACAAATTCAATTATTTGTTTGTCAGATATGAAAATGTCAGATCCAGCCCCGTTGTCGAAGACGGCGAAATACAAGAAAATTACAAAACCACTTTTGGAACGAAAACGGCGTGCGCGCATCAATCGCTGTTTGGACGAACTTAAAGATCTTATGGTCGGAGCTTTAGAGGTATGTATTTAATTTATTGCACTAATTAGTTTACTCGAATGATTTACACAAAGTGATTAGCGTTAACTGGTAACTTCGTAGCATTATGTCTCAGTCTGAATAATTGGTGGATTTCTTAATTACAACAACTTATCTTAGTGAAGCAAGGAAATCTTACATAGGTATAATAAAACAGTAGAAATTAGTAATAAACACTTACACATGTAACGAAAAATACAATGTCATGGCAACTATATTTAGCTCAAGTGTTTCTAAAAATGTTCGAGTGCCATCAAAGATAAAACATAATGCCATTGTACAGATATCATTTTCTATTTTTATCTTCACTCCATTACCTGCAGTGTTTGCATTAAAGTATCGTACCTACATTATTACTGTTCATCAAAACGCAATCCATCATTCATTCACACACCATTTATTTTTATCACGAACCGGTCGTCCTTCTGTTTATTACTGGGCACTTATCATGAGCCGTACCGCCACCAAACTGGAATATAAAAGTACAAGTTCCATTAAAAGACAGGAGTCGCTTATTCACATACATGCACAGTTATATTAATGTGACGTCTCGTACCGTGAGAACACCGCTGAGCACCTGCGCTATACTCTACACACTTTTTTCTTTTTGTCACAGATCGATGACGACAACCTGAGCAAGTTGGAGAAGGCAGATATCCTTGAGTTAACCGTTAACCATCTCACAAAGTTGCACAGCCCTAGAGACCCGGTTTTGGAAGCCAAGAAGTTTCAAGCGGGTTTCGGACAATGTGCCGCTGAAGCGTGCCGGTTTATCATGTCCGTGCCAGATTTAGACGCCAACGTCAGTCAAAACTTAATCAGTCATCTGTCTAGACTTATCACTGCTCAACCTCTCACTATACAAGTACCAGACAGGCCTAACTTCTCACCACCAAACTCGCCGTCATCCGTCATCTCCGACAGACAACATTACTACAGTGACCACGACAGATCGTCATCAGACGCGGAAGACTCAGTTTATTCTGGCGATGGCTCGAAACAGTGGGGGTACAATAGACCCGCTGCGAGGGTTCCCCATAAAGTACCTCCTACCGGGCTACTCACAACGGTAGACAACCTCAACCAACACAACGCGCCTGAACAAATGAACAGCCAAAGAAATGGGGCCTATTACAAAAGAGTTCCGGCTGAGGCGAAAGATGTAATCCTACAAAAAATTCGTCAACACATAATGGATAAGCGTAGCAACGACAACGTTGACGTGAATATGAGCGCGGAGCCAGCGGCCGAACCAAAATATTTACACAGAGAGGAGCCGTACAGAGCTGAGTACTCGTACCAATACTCGCCACCGAACACGAGCAGCGACACTCTAGACCTCCGGAAGGTTAGATCACCAGCGAAGGCGACGGAGACGGCGCACTCGCCGAAAAAACCCGTCGCATGCTCGGTCGGTAATCAATTAGACGCGTCTCTCCAGAGCAAAGTTGAGGTGACACCCAGTCTTCCGGAACACTGCGAATTGCCGATGGATTACAGCAACCTACCGCCTAAAAAGAAAAGGAAATTGATTGAGTATCAAGAGTACAAAAAGCAGGAGGCCGCCCGTCGTCAACTCGAGGCTTTTTACGATGAAAAAAAAGAACGGCATGGTGAGGGACCACCGGCGGACGAGGACAGCAAATGGCGCCCGTGGTGATGTCCTCCAGCGTCCAGCCACTCGCCTATTGTGATATTAATAGTCTCTTCTTCCACAAAAAGCTTTAATTTGTTTTAACTTATGTATGTTTAGGTAGTCGTTAGTCCGTTAAGTGCCTTATGTTTGCTTTAAATTGTTTATGTGTATTGAACTTTATTTATGTGCCATTTGTTTGATCTCGATGTCTTCCTATAAAATTGTATTCATGTAGACATGCGCAGTCTTCCATGTATGTACAATAATGATTGATGACCATAATAATAAATGATGTATGTATCGAATTTCGTGTTTGGAATCCTAAAACCCTTTGTTGTAAAAAAACTGAAGTATCTACAAGAAATACTTCACCCAAACTCTTTGGAAATTGCAAAAGGGTGACAAAACAATATATAGGTTCACCCACCTAAACAAAAAATTAATAAAATAGACTAGAGAATAAGATAACAAACTAAGTTCTGACTGTCCTGGGTATACCTACAGTAATAAAATGACATCGAATTGTATACCTACCAAAATGATATAGTTAGTCGCTTTGATTAAAGCGGTCAATAATACTACCTATAGACCTAAAGTAAACAAATAATTAATTGTACAACAAAAATATTCGCACTATCTAAGTAGGTAACCTAAAGTTTTTAGACTAAATGCGCTAATTAATAAACCAATTTCGCCGTAATTATTAACGTATGTAAGAATCGTAGCACTTGGCTTTCCGTAGCCTCTGCCTACCCCCATGGGGTACAGGCGTGAGGTTATGTATGTATGTAAATAACTTATCAGCACGCTTTTTAATCATAAATGCGGTAGATAGAAATGCAATTAATAAACGCGAACGTAAACGTAAAGTTCTAAAGTTCGCTTTCCATAAATCAATATAACAAGGGAATTAGCCAAAACCATTGGGCACAAAATAATGTATAAACTGAGAATATGGAAAACAAATAATACTTTCCGCGATTCGGGAATTGTCCTTACGTCTACCTGTCATTAGTTGCGCTTGCGAATTTTACCAACTACACTAAATACTTTGATAAAATTTACATAAAGGACTTTTATTTATTTTAGAATAATATAAAATATTTAACCATTACCAACATTATTTTGATATCGCCCATTTCACTGCCTATATGACGCCTAATGCCCTCTATGAACAAAATTAATTAAATAAAGCGCCCTCTATTTTATAATTTTGCATTAATATTCCTACAGAAATTACATTACCTAGTTTTGACAGGTCCCATGTTACTCCATATCAATTGTTGTAGATACCACTAGGTGGCGCTATGCGTTAACGCTCACTACCGCCATCTATCTTTGTTACCTGCAAATTCATGTCCATATCATAGATGGCAGCAGTAGACACATGCCAAATTCAGTTTGATATTACTACTGCCCGATAGATGCCGCATCTACCCGTGAACGAGTTTTCTAAAAGATTGTAAAAATGAAACATAAACCTTCTAAATGAAATAACTAATAATAGTTAAAATATTTTTAGTATTTTAATATCTTTTTTCTTTTCGCACCGTTTATCACACACATTTATTTATCACACATCACTCGATAATGATTACACAATGTGTAAGTGGACTTAACTAAATAAGTACAAAAAAAATATAAAAAAAATGCTATCTAATCATTACATTAATCTATGAAAGATTAATAAATAAATGAAACGAAATAAAATTTTAAACTAATTTGATTGCTACTCACCGCTAGATGGCAGGAGCTGTATTCAGCAAGACTCCTTGTTTATGTACGCGTACGTAGTAGAATGGTAGTAGCGGAGTAAAGTGGGGCGCGCAGCAAACCAACTCGATTCATTCATTGACACGCCGGCCGGCCGGCCAGTCGGTAATCCAGTAACACCACGACGAGTCGTACAGACCGAACAACGTAAAATGTGCTGCGCGCAATTTGTAACGAACTTCGAATTTTAAAAATACGAATTTGACAGTTATTGTTTTTGATTTGACGTGAACGAGAAAAATTGTAAACAAATATTTTTTAAGTAAAACTGAATGGTTTATTGTGAATATTTAGTGATGATTTGTGACTATAGTGTCGTGGAAAGTGTTTTTATGTGCAATGTTGTGAATTGGCGATGCTTGTAGGAGAACAATCTCCGGCACCACGGGTGGTGGCCGGTCTAAGAAAACTTCGTCCTGAATTGACTCCTGGACCTGTTCCTACGCCTGTAGATCCTGACTTTAGGATATCAGGTCAGTAACTAACGTCTAGTTACCTTCAGATAGCAAACCAACTAGATTTTAAAGCGATTCATTATAAATTCATAACACCGGACTTGGTATCTAAACTGGGTTCTAGTTGATAAATTATAAAATACGTTATTGGTATTACAACAGGCTCCCGCCTAGTTCTTGTGTTTTTTGTGCTAGACATGTGGCTAGCAACTAATGGCAAATAGAAACAATGTAAATAAAGTACAGTCTGCTAGATAATAAAGATTACTTTGTGTACCTATTCTTAGTTTGTATTGAAATTCCTATTGGAGCGTGTCGTAAGAAACTCGATGTCAAATTGATCATAATATTATGTTATGGAGATTTCCTACCTATATTTTTCTTGTAACTACCCTACCCTACGTAACAATTTACCTACAATAACAAAATTTTTAATCCACTTGAATGAGTTATTATATTAGTTTTACTATTATTATCAACCGCAATGCTTTCTTAATCAACCGACTTCGACAGGAATTCATTGAAGTTTATCAATTAACATCAAAATTTACAATATTTCACTCATAAATACATACAGGGAGTAGATAACTATGTACCTAGTTATATCGATTTATAAAACTCATCATTTTTTTCGGCCTTAAACTGTACTCACAGAAATTGCCCGTGCATGCCCCTTCCTTCAAACAACGTCAGCTGTTAAGCACATGTTAGACATAGCTTCACAATAATTGTCTGCAAGGTTCTTAGAATAACTTAGATAAAATGCCAAAGTGCTATTCAGATGCTTAAACAGATCGCGAGTTACATTCTGCTAATACCTATGAGTCGAGTTAGGATACCCAACTTAAGTTATTAAATAGTATTTTAAAATTAAATAGCCTATACAACCTATACAGCTCAATAGGGCTGGTGCCGATACGGAGCCGCCGAGAACGTAAACGGTTTTTTTCCCCTGCACTTTACTTCTGCACTTCGAGCCGGAGCCCCGGTAACCTTTTACGTTGTCGCGGAGAACCTAACGGGTAACCGGGGCTCCGGCTCGACGTGCAGGAGAAGGAACGGGGTGGTTTTTAGTCAGTAAGAGTCTGACACTCCTCCCGCCCGCCTCACCTAGGCAGGCAGCCATTCGATGATTTTCCCCCTTATAAAACAAAAAAGGGGTCCTTATATGATAATATGTAATGCCGATAAACTGTATACGGAAACTAAAATTAAAAACATAGATAACTAGGTACCTACCATGAGAGTTCTTAGATTGTTTCCTAGATACAGAAAGCTTAAACTGATGTCTACCTACAGGTACAGGCGAGATAGACAGTAGTCAAACATAGGCCTATCAAATATAAAAAGGTAGGTACATAAAATTGCTTGAATTTTAAATCAATTAATCCTTGAGCACGGTCATTATAGACACAATTAAAGAACAATAGGTTGCGGTCACCGGTGACCGCTTGGTGTTTGACAGTTTAATAGACGTACTTACCTATTATCTAGGTATGAATACTATTGTATCATATACCTAGATGTGTCTGTCTCAATTTACATAATAGCAAATGTGAACTAAAGACGCTAATGTTATCATTCCTCGCGATGTCCTAACAAGGTTTCATAGCATCATAATTAGCAGGTGCACTTAGTACTAACACTTGATACCTATAGTCTAGTTTTATTGACTAACGCGTAACGCCTGAATACTGAAAGGGTACTCAATTTTAAGTTGTTGATATGTACTTAAATGGTGCCATCTCTGTAATTTTACAAAGATTTTGTAGTGACAGAACTAGGTACTTATATCTACTTAAGCGCGACTTAATTTTAGTAGCGTTTGAGTATTTCAGTGTAAACCAAACCTAGTTATCTGTATTTATTCTGGCCGATTTTTCAACCGTCAGTTAATTTTTAAACCGTAGAATAAAATTGACATTTCACAGTGTTTAGTATGGAGGAATTGTTAAATAGGTATTCAAAGTTAACTCCTCTATTCCTCAGTGAAAATTTATCAGGCGTTGGAAAAATCGGCCCCAAATGATTTACCTAGTGTTATTGTGATATTCATGTCTAATGGTTTATCGATTCAATAGCGAAACGGTTTCTTTTAGCCCCAAGTTCAAGGAAAGTTTTAGAAATATTGCGTCTAAACAAATAGTATGTAAGTAGTTACCACCCAGATGCCTAGATAATCAGAGATAAGTTACAAATTAAAAGAATATTCTCAAACAAGTTTTTGACAAACGTGTCATTATGATTGTCTTAACTAGGTTGAACATTTTTTCGTTTCCAATATCCATCTTCGAAATAAAATTTTTAAAATTTTGATTTCATCCGTGCTTTAAAAATCTTAGATCAATCCTTATACTATTATATAAAGCGAAAGAGTTTGTTTTTGTTTGTTTGTTTGAACACGCTTATCCTCGTAACTACAAGTCTGATTTGAATAATTTTTTTGTGTTGGATAGCGCATTTATCGAGGATGACTATAAGCTATAAAACATCACGCTACGACCAATTGGAGCTAAACAGAGCGTGTGAAACCGCGCAGAAGTAGCTAGTTGTTAAATAAGTAACTAGAAAAGAAATGGCGTGTTCCTGTCTATACAAACAAAATTGTCTGCAGTTCGGTCTAGACGCTAGCCGATCGATAGTTTTGAGTCACACCCGTGGTTAGTAACTACGGTTATTCCAAAATAAAAGTTTGGTTTAACTAGTCAGTTATTAATCGTTCTTTCCATATTTAGTTATAGCAAAATGAACCTAAAACGCAATAGTTTTTACTGTTATCTGTAAATGTTTCGTTGTCTGACGATAGCAATTTTCAGATTCCCTAGTTATCTTATTAGAAGTTTATCATTGCTAAAAACTTGGATCGAATACCAATACATACATAACTTTACGCCTTTTATCTCCGAATGGTAGGCAGTGATACTCACTACGGTGCTTAATGCCATTGTACAATGTAACACCCAATTTTTACTGTTTATGTTATGAGTCCCATGGAATACTAATAATACTAATACTAGATAGTATTAATAGTATCTAGGTAATATTAAGTAATAGTAGGTAATTACTGCCTCGTTGGCCGAGTGGTCTTAAGTGCGACTGCCGGACAAGGGGTCTCGGGTTCGATTCCCGGGTCGGGCAAAGTATTACTGGGTTTTTAAATATTCTCAGTAGTAGCACGGAGTCTGGAATTGTGCCCGGTATATGGCAATAGGCTCACCCCCTATTACATGGGACTCATAACATAAATAGTGAAAAGTGGGTGTTACATTGTACAGTGGTATAATGTGCACCTCTGCCTATCCCTTCGGGGATAAAAAGGCGTGATGTTATGTTATGTTAGTAGGTAATTAGTAGTAACAACGAAAACTGTCTAGTTAATCCCAGAATCATCAACTCGTCAGTTAAACTGTCAAACACCAAGCGGTCACCGGTGACCGCGACCTATTGTTCTTTAATTGTGTCTATAAAACCGGTACTCGACGAGTTAATTGAAGGTTTTGTATTATTTCAAATATCCATTTTAAATTAAAATGCGAAATAAATTTAAACCTAAAAAACTAAAAGTTAAGCGTATTGTCATAAAATTCCCATGACCCTTAACGGACAAAACTACCTGGATATGTCGTATTTTATGATCAAAGTCTTCGGTGGAACCGTGAAGTTTTTGCGTAAAAAAATATTTTCTACAATGGTAAGAGACATCAGCTGTTGTATACCAGATAAAATCTACAGTTTATAGCGATAATATGTACGGAAATGTTTATCAAACTGTCAAAGATTGCGTATCGCTGATATTTGCGCCACCATAAGGCAAAAAGTTAAAATTTTGAATGAATTTTGTTACATACAGTATGGCTTACTAGTAACTGGTTTTCTCTTCTATAAAATTATGAATCTTACATCTGAATACAATTTAATCATTAGAATAAAAGTAATTAGGTAATTAACTAGGTAGGTAGGTACTCACTTATCTAGTCCAAATAAGTTTAACACAAACTCTGGCAGAAGTGATGAAGGTTTTGTCTGAAGTTGAAAAGGAAACTGTGCCTTTAGCCAAACGCCACTATAGCGCTTTTCTACAGAGAGAGTAGAAAACCAAATGTATGGGGATGACACTGACAAGTTGCAAAATTTATGTCAATTCCATATAAGTAATTTGGTTTTCTATTCTACATGTAGACAAGCGCTAAATGGCATTTGGCTAACGCTGCTGATACGACATGTAAACATGTCCATAGTTTCGCAAACAAAATCAAAGTCTTTGACTGTGTTTTATTCTTTCATTTATTTTAATTCTTGATTAGACACTTTTGGAACCTAAAATTAAATTGTTAGTGAAGCTAGGCGCCCGTTCCAAAGTGTAGTTTCGAGTGGAGAAGAACGAGCAAGAAATACCATCGTAACTCTTTTCAATTAAATTAATTTTATTTATTTATTTATTTTAAGAAGGCTTACAGACTAATACATAGAAAATGATTTTATAAGAGTACTTATAATATTGACAAATTGCTAATTACAAGCCTCCACATATGAATGAAAAGAAAAAACAAAAAGGCAAAAAATAAAGTAATTTACAATCCCACAAACCCATTATATTGTGTTCCTTATCCATTGAAATTGAACAGTATAAAATTAATATGTATAACTAGACAGAATAATACATACGTAGTTAACTAACAATTCCCAGAAAATGACATAAACAATGTAACAATACTCCTAGATATCTATACTCCGTCTGTTTAGGTAGTTAACTATTTGTAAACAAACCATAAAAAGAGTTCTTTATAGTTGACACTTCCATGATTCAAAATACTTCATAAGAAAATAAAATTGTTTCCATTTTTACGACAGTTTTCTCTATTACATTTTATGTTTCTGTTCCTTTTCACTTATTTCTTAGTAAATATTATATATATCTGCTTGAGCATAATAATTTAATAACATTTATTAAATAATATAATATTTCATCACAATAGACACCATAAAGAGCCTAAAATCCCAGGTATCCAAAACCTTTCTTTATGAACGAAGCATTAGATAATGTTGTCAAATTAAAGAGTACAACTAAGATGTAGCGCGACAATGAAAGTAGCGTGTATTACGTTTAGTCGGTTAATCAAGCGCCATTGACAGCTCTCTCGTCGGTTGCGCTCGCGTTTCTATTTGGTTGAATTTATCTTGTTTCTTTGTTTTGTTTTTCTTATTAAGTATTTAAGTTTAGGTTATTCATCGTTTGTAATTAATGTGTTCAAATATATTGAAGAAACTTGGCCCAAAGACACATATCCGTACAAGAAAGAAATCCGTACATCAGATTCAGAATAGTTTCTATTTAAACATGATAATGAAATAGACCCATAGGCTAGGCTCTTGTACGATTTAGGCATTTGTACTTGTATGTGTGTGTATGACAAATGAACGATTTTAAAGTGAATTTAGTTAAAATTAAAACACGAGAAATATTTGAAGTAATAGTAGGTTAAGTATCTCTGTGTCACGTGGTTTTCTTTGTTTACCTTTAGTTAATTACCTAAACAGATGGACTATAGTCACAACATTATTGTATTATGTTACACAAAACCTGCACAAAGTCTAGAAATTACCTGATATCTTACTAATTAGGTACCTAGTTAGTTACTTATTATCAACAATGGTTTTAGGGCATCTAACGAACATGTAAAATGTCAGGTACTTTTATTTCGGGTTTATTAGCAAATTGATAAACACCTTATCGATGTTTATCAGGCATTGTGATAACATATTGATGTCGCTAGACAGAAACATACGTAGTTCTAGTTTGCATCTGACTAATCTTTGATAGGTACGCATCTGACTAATCTTTGATAGGTACTGAACACAGTACATTTTTTTGCCACCCATCCAATTTAAAAACCACCTTCCTTTGGCTTTGTCTTTTGGCAACAAGGCTCAATAATTAATTATTATGTTTTTCGGCCTACTCACGTAATTATTTGAGCAGTATTCCGCGACCCGCCACGTTATGAATATGAGCCTCTAGCATGCCTTGAAACTAGTCGAGTTCCATGTCAAATAATTAAGTGAATAAGCCGAAAAATATAATAATTTATTTAGTATGGTTCACGAAAGTTATAAACTTATAAGTAACTCAATAAGTAGTTAAACAACAAAAAATAATGATTAAGTAAGTAAGTAACCATATCCAATATTTTAACTTAATTAACTAACCCAGACTTAACGCCTGTACAAAACATGTCAATAATAGTTTGGCACCACTTACATAGAAATCCGTCACAAATGCAAATTGGATCACTTAATTTTAATAATGATCCCAGCTTAAACTTAACCAGAATACCTCAAAGACCGAAGCCAGTCAGTAGTCAATTAGTTACCCACATGTCAAGGGCGTATTAAATTCTTACATACTAAATTGGATCATTCTCAACCGTTATGGGTCATCGACTCGAGTAATTCTTGACCTACCCTACATTAATGTACCCACTACAGCTTGCCCATTCGATCGTAAAGAATGTTATCGACAACAACCGTCATTAACAAAATAAATCGACTATCAATAGGTTAAAATTGTAGGAAATCAACGACACTGTGTTCCCAGACTTTCTTTCAATTATTCACGTAATTAATCGATTAGTTTCACATCTTTTAATACACCATGAAGTTCAATATATATCATGAAAGTTTATGAAATCGTATTGTCTATGAACCATTTCGTTTTGTCTCTGATCAAGCCGCCATGTTGAATTTAATAAAGGATTTGGATTTGGGTCATAAGCTTTTTAGTTCAGTGGTGGAGAAATTCAATCAGACCTCGTAGGTACTGACCTATGTCGATATGGACAGGGGACAAATTGAATTTTTCCATTATGAAACTTAAAGGGATGAATGTGGACGATATGAATATCGACAGTGACACAAGTCCACCCAATATAGCATGTGGAAATAAGACTTTATTTCATTGCTAAGATGTCGTATATTGACTTTCATTGTTATTACTATTAGGAATCTATTTGATCACAATTTCATAGTTAACTATAAATTGATTAATTTGTTTCAAGACAGACTCTATGTTTATATTTACCTATGTTATTATGTTTATAAATATTATGTCCATCCTCGGTAACTCGCAGTTATAACTGGAATACGAGCTGCACAGACTCGTCACGTAGACACCTCTGTACTGAAATAACATGTTATTTAACTTACTAATCATATTCAATATGAGCATAACAAGGTAACATATGTATAAAGTATACAGGATAACTAATTATAACTAAAACAGTGCGTTGACACGATTTGCCACTATTTGCGGTCAGCTCTCTGTTCATACAAAACCGCTCTGAATTTGTGATACCATTGTGTCCAATACAATAATAGTCGCTTTGCCTGACCTCATTCGCATAACCAGTGTTAAGAAAATATTAAACTTAAGTAATAATAGTTACTGTTATTTAAGTTAACTCTTGTTTTCTTAGTATATTCGAAATAAACCATGACTCCTGTTCCGATAGTTAGGTCCTCTAACCACTGTTCTTCAAATAGTTCGCAAAATGAGTTATGAAAAGCTATACTCAATTAACTATATTGATTTGTGGTCTTGTTATTAAATTTGTTTCCTTATTTTACAAAATTAGTTATTAGCGATGACTTTTAGACAATAGTTATAGGACTAGTTATTATAAAAAGTCTCTAGATAGGTCTATAGATTCAAGCACAGTTTTACATCTAACCGTTGCAACATTTTGATTATTTTATCTAAATTAAATCAGTACAGCAGTACTTATGGAATATGGAATTCCGAAGTGTATTTAAATAAGAAACAAAGACAATAAGGCCGATTTTCGATTGAAGCCCAATTGCTGCATACCACACGATATCAGCATGAACTTGACTTTGTAACTTGACACTTTCGCCAGTACAGACATCGTATCATTCATAACGTTCAGCCCACGCATTACTTTATGCCTCTGGAATGCCAAATATAAATTGACGTCCTTTGAAACATAAAAATTCATCGCACGTCAACCATTTTGTGGCCAAAATTGCAGCTAAATTAAAAATTGTATTGGTCAACGTTTGGAGAAAAAATGTCATTGCAAATAAGAATGAAGTGTAATTTTGGTTTCTCATGAAGGAAATTGATCTTAATAAAATTGTTAAAGAGGAAATTGTAAATTATAAAGCAAATTATTAGACTAATGAATTTACTAGTAATTATTAGGAGAAATGCGTTGATTTGGTAATGGTAGTGAGGTTAAAAGTAATTCAAGTACAGTTTTGGAAATATGATCTTATCTCATGACTTTATAGCCCTAACTATGAATAACACGATTGTGAAAGTACTAATCTGCAATCAGCGTCATATCAAGTCTTATTGCGTAGACATAAATTAATTCTGCTTCTTAAATTTAACAGCTCAATACTTGTTTATATTGTTCGATGCCCGATTAAATACTTAATCCTTGTTAACCTTGCATTGCCAGTTGCATCAGAATATAAACATTAATCGATCTGGAACATTATCGGTAGTTACTTTATATTATTGTTATTATAATGATTCATCTTTCTAGGTTAACTGACATAATATCTCTTGATATAACTGTTGTCAGTCAATAAGAATTGTTCCGATAAATATGTCAACAAATACCTTACTAAATATTATTTCTACTGTGTTGATTTATTTTTATATTTTTCTACCATTGATTACCTTTGACAATGGGGTTAACTTGCATACCTCTTCAGCTTTTCTATGTCTTCTATTGAATAGTATTTAATCCATTCAGAAAGGACATTCCAAGATGATTTTATAACCTTCTATGTAGTCACAGCGTTATTCGGTTCATTTTCTAACGATTGTTTCTCTTTCTACAGGTGTCCTCCGTCAGTATTACAACGATGACACAGAATCCTGGGCTTGGGTGCGGGCAGCCGTCCGTGGTGGTTGCCTGCTCGCGTGGAGAGACGGCACCTTGCCCAGAAGGGCTGCCGCACGCCTACCCCTGCGCGACCTGCACCTGCGAACCGCACACACCTTGCCCAATGCCTTCCAGCTATCCCGACTCAGAGACGACTCTGCCGTCGCCACGTTTCAGGTAAATATCCAAAATATTGCTAAAAAAAAATTCTCTACTATGGCCCAAGTATTAAATATTATGTGAACTAAAGTTTATTGTCTCTTATATAAATCTATTGGAGCTAGAGGACAATTTGTCGACTATAGTTGACGTGAAAGACCATGAATTACTTACCTATATTACCTATTGATATTAGTCACATGTCACATGCATTTCAACAATAAACGTAAAACACTTGTTATTCCAACTAGGTCAATAACGAACCATTGAAATTGTATTTGACATTGGAAACTGCACGAATTGATAAGTTGATGAATTGAAAATATATCCTTTGTAGTAGTTTAAGAAAAAGCGAGTAACTACTGGACACAAATATAAAGACGTTGTGATCAGGCAAAAACATGAACTTCCAATTTATGCTGAGATGCAATGCAATGGAACATGTGATTGCTACATGATGACATTTCAGATTTTATTTGGTTTTCATCCACAAAAAGTTTTATTTTGTTCATTTATAACCAAACAGTATAATTCCATTACAGTTTGCGTCATTGAACTTGCAACTCGTTGTCCAATTAGCCGACTATTCATTGATTTCAACTTATTATTCGAAAAATCCCTCTCACAATCCTCTTTTGCGTGCGATTTTATTGAAAATGCCAATTCATCATTTACCATAGCCATTATTTACATGCAACAGTCGAGTATCATTTGTCAATACAACATAATAGGTGCTATAATGTTGAGTCCAAGAACTGGCGGGATCCTTGGAGACACGTGAGACCGAGTGTAGTATTTCACAGTTCTAATAATACAGTAATACCTAATACTTGTGATGTCAATACAATAACACATTATTATTTTTAACATTTGCAACATTACTCGATTGTTTTTGCTATCTGCAAATGAATATGCTTTCATTTCCTCGTCGCAAGCGATTTTGCGATGTCCGGGAAGTGCGGATCGATGAAAAAAGAATAGCGGTTATTTGTGGTAACATTATGATAGCGTGCGTGGCTGCTAGTAATGTTCCAAGTAACCGTCCAGTTTTCACCAAAACCGGAGCACATGTTGCTATGACTATGTGCCGTCTAAAGATGTGCTAGATAGACGGACCGGCAGTGTCGACACTGTTTATCTTGGAAGACTTTTTGAAATATTCGTGTCATCATTTGCGAATAGCGTGTTCGTGAGAGAGATTTTTTCAACTCTACTTTTAGGCTTTTGATTGAAAACGCTTAATTGGACCAATATCACTTCTGGCCTTGTTATAAGTTTACTCAATCAATGCGTAGTTAGTTTGTTTTCTATAGGGAAAAATATCGATCTATATAAGTGTATACCCAAGTAACGTTCTCAAACGTTGCGTCATCTATAAAATATATTCAAACAACGCTAAATTGTTGATATTATTCAGTGTTTCCCCGGTCTCAACTCTCATTAAAGTCAGATGCCAATTATTGTCAATAGTCCATATTTTCCTTGTATTAGGACGAAGGGATTTTATTTCTACCTACTATGAAAACTTCTGTCGCTTGCAACGGCTATGTGACGAGGATATTTAATCTAGTTTTATGGTCCTTTCCATTGTTATAATCAAAGTTGTCAGTCAATAGTCCCATTCGAAGACAAGTCGATATAAATCAATGATTCGTGTTTACAAGATTAACTTGGATCTGTCTACATTATATCATGTCACGTACATCGTTCGTAGTGGCTGGTCATTGTCCAGGAGACAATGCCACATAAATAATTATATCGACATACAGATGTTACATGATTGATTGAGTCTTTGACTCGTGAAGAAAAATATTTAGACTTGATGTACGCTTGTTTAACTTCGATAAGAGATGAGATTTTCGATTGTTTTTAAACACGGCCCCCAGTTTAATGATACACGGTTTTAAATACAGATTATTCGTATTTAATGTTTTGGTGTACTTACTTTTTTTCGTCATAGACCATAAGAACCTATTGAACGTCTTGCAAGACGTTCTATCCCCCTTCGAATAACGCCTTTCTCACGATTCGTGCACTTTAATAGACCTCAATAAAGCGAAACAACCGTAAATCAAAAGCCTTTGTGCATCGCGACCTTTTGATGTAGCTGTTTACCATAAGAAGGGCTAGAACGCGAAGGTGTTGACACGTAAAGGAAACACGTTTTAAGAAAACTCCGTTCTGTAATACTCTCCCGATAAAAAAACATCTATGAATGCAATGTGACCGTGACTAGTTCAATCCTTGCGATCAGCTGTTCCATTATTATTGTCACCCCTACTCTGCATGCTCACTTTTTATTTGTAATTCATGTGGAGGATATAGACTTCTTTTATAACAAATTATGCAAATTGTAACGTTTCTTGAACAGATTAAGTCATAAATCTATATTTAATGTGATTCGTCGCAGTTGGATGTTTCAATTAAGTTTATTTGTTACAGACTTGCAATGCGGCGGAATACGCGAGATGGGTGCGCGCCCTCTGTGTCGAGATCCTCGGTCAGACGCCACTGCCACAGGTTCGATTTCTGGACGTGCTACCTGCCGCGGACACCGTCGGTCGGGAACCAAAGAAAGAGGCTCCTCAACAGGAGACACCCTCTTGCCCTCCTAAACCACCCCCGCGAGCTCGTAGAAGGTTACTGACCTCTACGGAGACGCAGCTCACGCGCAGAGATCACTCCCCCGCCGCTACGGATGAGGGCATCGTCGTCGAAGACGACGACTACGACTCATCATCCGATCGCAGCTTAGACTTAACCCTCTCCCTCGACGCTTTGAAGACCACAGACGTGGTCGATGCGCCAGTACGGAAAGCAGAGGTGATCAAATGTGACAGCTGTAGCAAACTGAACGCAGGCGCAATACAACACCACACGTTACCACGTGCAGCGCGATCCGAATCAGAGCAAGGTCGCCGCTACTTGAAGAGATGGGAGGGCACGGCGGGAGGTGCCGAGCGGGGCCGGTTTGCTATGGAGGCGGCTAGACGAAAAACTTCGTCGCTAGAACATCGGGCGAGATCTTGTTCCCCGAATGTTCACGAAGCTATTGCACAGTATGTCCCTGTGAGGGAACGACGTGCTTTATTTGAATCATTGTCACGGACCAGCGGTGGGCTGGCCCGCAGCAGCGAGCAGCTAGCTCGCATCGAGCGCTCTCCGGAGACGACACCACGACGCGCTGCGTCGTTGCACGACCTGCAGGCTCCGCCGACGCGGTCGGTATCAGACCTGCGCCAGTTCTTCGAGGCGGTGGCGCGCGGCGCGGGCGCGGCCGGCGCATGCGGCTCCCAGCGGCACAGCGCGCCACACTGCGCGCCGCGCGCCTTTGCCTCACTTACGTGTGCTTGACACATACTCTGTTGTACATATTGTAGATAGATCCGGCGTTGACCGCTATCTTTCTAAGTCGTTCGTTTTAAGACTGTTAAAAGTATTGTTATAGAAGTATCTAATATAAATAAAATGAGATGTATTGTCTATTATACTCAGTTGTTTTATTAAACCTGGCCTTGTATTGTGAAAAGCAATTATCTACTGAGCATGCGAGTTTGCGCAAAGTAAATCAAATGTAATGATTTTCGTAGCCTTGTTATGTCTTGAGGCATTGTTTTTATTGAAAATTCAATTTGTCACGAGAGAATTGGTGCGGTAAGTCATTAAATAACATTTGGAAGGTACCTACTACCTAATAGACGATGAAAATGTCAGCGGGTAAGTGCACAAAGGTCGCGAGTCACGGAGTTCGGTTCTTGTCCTCGAAGTTATCTTACTTTGTGTTGTAAGTTGTAATGAACATTGCGTTACGAAATGTTAAACAGCACATTAACCATTGTTGTCGTGTTCACATTTTGCGAATTGTGACAAAATGGTAACTTCGTAGTGTGGGTAATATGGAGCAGGATTGCGTGCTCGTATGTTATGCAAATCGTAAAGATAACAACTACTGTGCAAGTAGGACGTCTTTAGACAGATGTATAATGTGGTTTGCACAATAAGTTTGCTATCTACGAGTTCGTGACAAGCTTTGTAGTCCTCTTCCTATAGTAAATGGACACAAATGAAAGTGCAATGCACGAATACCTAGTCGCGATAAGATTCCAAAATTGTTACAAAAGTGAATGACGCACGAGATAATACTAATGAATTCATAATCCTCTGACATGTACTTCGATACTGACTTTGTTAACTCAAAATCGCGGGTTACTCACGTGAGAAAAGCTCTACTAGTTTCGAACTCATGAGGAAGAAATGGGGTTTGATTGATTTTTAGTTAATTTAGTATTTCTCACGATGGTTATTATAAAAACACTGACTTTGTTATTTACGAATCATTGAAATGCTTGCAATAAATGGGATGCTCAGTTGCCTATTAGGTACCTAGCTAAACAATACCAAGAGAAATATGGTCTGCCCAACAAGACCCTACTTCTCACGTTTCGAAATCACATAGAAACAAAACATAGGTAACAATATTAGATAAACGAGATATAACCAAACACGGAAAGTCTAAGCAATTTATTAAATTCATAATCTTAGTATCTCGGTATCATATTGTTGGTCAAATTCCGCATAAAGTCGGTCTAGATACAGTGGCCGATAGTATTAGTTAGGACAACAATTGCTAATATTGTTAGCGATACAATAGCAGCTAGGCGTTGCAAGAAATATTGAATAATAGATATGCCTGTACTTACTTAACAATTGGAACAAAACCACAACAATTTATTAATGGAAATCTGCAACAAAGGAATAAGTCAGATCAAACACGAAAGACTTCCACTATTGAACTCTGGACGTCTTGGGGTTTGCATTAAATCTGTCATCGTCACAGGTTGTATAACACATCCAGAACCCCGTAGTGAAAAATATTCCGTATAATTTTCTAAATCATCAACGTTCACACAAATGAATGACATAATACAAAGTCCAAAACATCAAATTTATCTAAACAACAAAACCTACTAAATCCATTGACTGCATCATCCACAAAATAACAATCAAGCGCACGCTACGATCTATTATAAATATGATACACAGGATGGCATCTACCATCTCTTTCCAACACCAAATAAAACTGTGAAGTAAAAAAGAGATGGACATAACATGGGTGTTTCATTTAATACTACCAAATTAGCAGCTGGAATGCGGCCGTGTCGAATGTTCACTGCAACCTCACAACCCGTAATTTGATATAAAAAAAAACTGACAATAGATAGTGAAGGAATAGAAAAAGCACAAAGGAAGCCGAGGGATGAGACAGGTAGCGGATTATGAGGAATAGATACGAACATGTTAAGGGTCTTAACGGACTTGTAATAAAATTCTTGTTTGAACTTGTTTGGTAATTTCAAAGAGGAGACATAAAAAAAGTTTTGTTGGTAGCCCACTGAAATTGTTTTGCGCAGCATGGTTCAAAAGGTTACCCAAGATTACATAGCATTAGTAATTGACATTCTGCAGATAAAAAATCAAAAGAAAAACTTGATCGGGACTGTCGAAAACGGCTATCCGATATCAAATACACTAACTAGAACTTAAGGAAATTATGGATAAAACAGCAGACCCAGAACTAATTTCATACAACAGATGATGTAAGTAACTGCAAGATCAATCTCTAATAGATTTTCAATTTTATGTTACCATCTTATTAGATTGAAATTGTATCAAAAAATAACCTAGCTGGCCTAAGTATCTATCCTAATATAATATTACCAGTAGTTTATAATAACTCGGTCAGTGAATGTGCTAGCCTTGAACGTGACTGGCGATACCGTTTTTGGTACCAAATCAAATGTTACGGTTTTTGGTTACTGAGATGGATCATTGAAGATGACGAATTTAGCTAAAGTACTAGATTGTTTGTTAGATCTGTTAAAGGATGGGCATGAAGGTTAAATCGGCATTCGTTATTAAAATAAATCTATGTTTATTCGTATTGATTGAAAGTTATTTTCACATCAACAATTTGTAACAATACACAGCTGGACTTAAGTTCTATTTTGCATAAAAATGAGTTTCGGAAGACTTAGTTGACGGATTAGAGAGTGCGGTTTAATAGGATCATGATGACTCACATAGGTCTCCATAGGGAGGTGCTCTAACAGGCGTTGCGTTGCGGGGGCTACGGAGTTGATCTACTAAGAGGACCCGGTGCCTCCTTCAAGTGCGGATGGTGGCCACCGGGGAGGTTTTAGTGAGGTAAAAATCCCACACTCCCTAGTCTTTTTCCCCAAAAAGCTAGACGCCTTTGGAAGGTTTCCCACCGTCAAAAAAAAAGGATCATGATGACTATTTTAAAGCTCTACTGTCCGATTTCTGTCTTATAGGATCAGGGCATACCTACCTTGCAATGGTTTTGTGGGGATTAAATTATAACATGCTTACCTGTGTGATTTAAAGATAAAAAAATAACTATCTATATTCCAAATTCTATGCAGACCAAGTCACTGATGGGAAGCAATTCTATACTGTATTTAATTAAAATGTGAGGTGGTATCAAATTCTCAAGAACGTGAACTAACCTTTCGGAATTTGCAGTATGGCAATTTTAGCATATACAGAAGGCTAAGATGATGAATTTATTTAAATTACTAGACTAATATGTCTATGGCTTGACATTGGTATCGACTAATTAGCTATCTAGTTGACATTGAGTTACTGAAAATAGTCCGACGCCAGTTTACTTGGTTCACATTGACATTAATACAAAAGGATTAGCAGATTTTTACCAAATCCTAAAATTGGAGTGGGAGTAATGTAAGATGTCCGCATTGCCAAAAGTCATTCTCTTGGCTTGACTTGACTAAGCCTAAAAATGGTTGTGAAGCGGTCTATTTTGAGGCAGAGCATTATAAGTAGCGACACTATTAATTTACCCTCTAGGGGTTAGGTAGGTTACGGACATGCGGAAGACTTAACGGGTCACCGGGGCTCCGGCTCGAAGTGCAGCAGTAGGACCGGGGTGGTTTTTAGTCAGTAAGAGTCTGACACTCAATCTCGCCTCACCCCGGAGAAGTCATTGGATGAATTTCCTCCCGCAAAAAAAAGGGTTAGGTATGTTATAGGTATATTAGTGACTTATTTCGATTATCTGACATTATGGTCAAAACTACGAACTACCTTAATCTAATTGCATTGAAAATACACAAAAATATGAGCATTTTGGTCGTGACCTGTAGATATATTCATTTTATAAATGAACACGTCGAAACAATTTCTTCAACACCACGTTTGCTTGCTCTACTTCGGTTCCAGTTTCAAACGAAGTTATATTGACAAAAAAATAATAGATTAGAATGTTTCGACTGACAGCAGCAGGTGCAAGGTTACCTTAGAATCAAATAAGGTTAGTTATGTCGTGATCGATACAATCGATTCGCCTGATGCACGCTCATACACTACCCTAGAACATAAAGCCCAAAATCCCTTGGCAACACTAAATGTCAGTTATAAAGCTGTTGTGAATAATGTAGAAAGACAAGACCATGAACTCACTATTTAGAAGGGATTAACGTGCTTCGCGTTTACATGTTCACGATTAAGATTTTTCAATTATGTATCGATTTATGGCAAATTAATCGAGTTGCTATTTAACTCGATTAAGCTACGATTAACGATGTTTAACTGCTCATCTTAAAGGAATACGATATCGAGGATTACGTAACTTTTAAATTGTAAACATAGAAACGTTGACTATTTAAGAGATAACTGATAGGTTTATTGAAACGAATCCTGGGAATACGAAGAAAGCGAACCAGTATCTTGAGAACCATTTTGTCAGAAGTGACGAATCCATTTTGTTGCTCATAATAGTCGAATGGATACAGTAAATAGTGACCAGTAGCCGTTGACTTATTCTCAACAAGGAGATCTATGAATCCAATTAAATCCTTTTTTTAAAACCAGTTATCTCTGTGGGAATCAAAATACGTCTTTACAAACCAGAAAACTAGAGAAAGGTCTTTTGTATCTATGAGAACAGATCTAGTTGTGAGGATTAAACCAAGTACAAGACACTGACAATCGTAAAGGGGTAAGTAGAAAGGGTTGGAAAAGGAAGGAATAATTGAATTATTTCTTCGAATTGTTAAGATTTTTAGGGCCAACATCGAATAGGTCAGTGGTTTAGGGGACCACGACACAATTAATCTTGTTCCAATCGCTATTGTTCTTAATTAGGTGACCCGTTTGAAAAAGGAATGTCTTTTTAACAACCAACCATTGCCGGCCAGTTAGAACACATTTTTGTTACTGTGTGAGAATCGTGTCTCCAAGGAGGTCCATTTATTTTTAGCTCGTTACTGTATGTGATGTGAGTATCTTTTAGCGATCGAATTTATTTGAATGCTTATATGGATAGAGTGTATTAGGTGGGCATATTACGGTGTATTTACTTTGTCACGCTCTTTTAAAATTGCGTTAGTAAAAAGATCGAAGTTTTTAATATTTAAAAAAAATACTTACTCAATGCTGTTATAATCATGGT